TATAAAAATTGTATATAAGATTATATATAAAAATTATATATGTTGTTTTTCATCTGCTCCCTGTCAGCTAGGTTCAGTAATTACACGAGAAATAGGCAACAATACCCATTCAGTTGCTCAAACTAGAAAGCAAATTGTCAGCCCACTTTCTCCCACTGCTCCTTCTGCACACAATCTCTCACCAAAGTCTCATCTATACTAGTTTCAATTGGTTCACTTGTTCTCCATTCCCACCGCCACCTGCTCTTGAGAGCACTGCCATCTCAGGCCTGGGTCACTGTGCCATCCAGGTGGAAACCAGAGTAATCTTTCTAAAATAACACAGTCCTTCCTCTTCTCATTCACAGCTTCCATGGTTCCTAGAATAAATCCCTTGGTGTGGCCTTTAAGACCCTTCCTAACCTGATTCCTACTTTCATTTGCACTTCAAATTCCTTGTGTCCAAAACTGAACTCTCTGCCCAAACTGGCTGGCTTCCTGGATTTCCCGCTTGAGTGAATGGTGCCACCTACTGACCTCTCGAGGGATCCTGCCTTCCAAATACTCCGAGTAATAAACCACATTCTCAAAAAAAAAAAATCTAACTTCATGATGGAGATATGCTTACATGAAGCACTTTAAAACGTTTGGGGCTTTAGTATTTGATGCCATAATGGGTAGAAGTTAAGGTAAACTGAAGAATTCACCAAAATTACATTTAGCACTTACTAACCTCCAGGAATTCATTAATCTAGACCAGCAGTTCTCAACCCTTTGGGAGTTGAAAGACCCTTTCACAGGGGTCGCCTAAGACCATCGGAAAACATATATATATAATTACATATTGTTTTTGTGATTAATCACTATGCTTTAATTATGTTCAATTTGTAACAATGAAATTGGGGGTCACCACAACATGAGGAACTGTATTAAAGGGTCACGGCATTAGGAAGGTTGAGAACCACTGATTTAGACAGTCTTTGCCCTCAAGGATGTGTTTTATCTGAAGAAATATTTTGAAATGATAGTTTAAAACACATATTTCATCTTGATGCAGGTCACTTGGCAACTCCTGAGGGGAAAAAATGTCTATTTTCCTTTTCTACTCTTTTCTAAGAGATGTTGAGAGATAGGCGTTCAAGAGATGAAATCCCAGTCACTTACTAGCACTATGTGACACAGGCCAAGGGGAGCAAGAACAAGTTCCCTAACCTCTGGGCGTCCCAGTCATCCTCAGCTGTAACAGGTGTAAAACCGCAGGACAGTAAATGAGAGAACGTGTACATAGCTGCTGCACAGCAGAGGGCCGCCATTATTATTACCGTCGTTAGGTTTTACGTTGGAACTTTACCATGAACAGGTAGCTATTCTTTCGTGCCCGATCAGTGGGGCCTCTGGTGTGAACAGGAGACTTCTCAACGTTTCACCGAGGCCGCATGACATGCTTTGTGTGTGACCACCTTATACAATATCCTGTAGATTCCACTCCCTGACGGGGTCGGGCGCTCCAAGGTCTGTCCAGTTAGGTGACGGCACCTAAGTACCGGGGAATGGAGGTGGGAGGGTCCAGTTGGGGTTCAGGCAACAACTCCCACCTGAGGCTGAGCCGAAACCAACTCTACCCAAGTCTGTCGAGGAAAGCCATTCTTTCCCACGAAGCTCAGAGAAGCGGAGACGTGGAGCTGGTGAGTGAGGGGAGGAGGCACAACCAGATCAGCAGACTCAGTCCCAGTGATGGAGGGGCCGCCAGCTGTTGCCCAGCTCACCCCTTCCCCGCCTGCCATCGGGGCAACCATCAGAATCATAAAAGTGGAAAAATCCCTAAAGAATCACCTACTTGGGTGGACTGTCTAAAACGTTGCTAAACATTTAGTGCATTTCTCTTCGAAAGGGTCTATTATTTCTCACCAGGTTCTTAAAGGAGTCCATGCCTGAGAAAAACGACACTGGCTGTTAAGATTCTTCACTTAACAGATGGAGAAACTGAGGCGGAGAGAGGTGAAAGCGGTCGCTCCAGTCAAACAACAGGGGCACTAAAGCGAAGCCTTTTCAGTGGCAATTCCGGCCTCCATTCCTGGCCTTGGCCCTGGTCTGGTACCGCCTCGCTTCTCCGCAGGCCCTGAAGGACCCCCAGGAGGTGTGGTGTCCCCGTCTTGGAGACGTTGCAGGCGGTCCAGATTCTAACACCCAGGGGACGGGCTAGGCGCTCAGAGGGGCTCCGGAGCCGTGAAGACGCCCACCCTGGCCTCACCCCAAGGAATTCCGTTGCCTTGGTGGCTCAGCTAGAGCTCCAAGCACAGTGAGCCTCGCGAAGTGGAGGCTGCTTCGCGACTGTGAAGAGCAGCGCCTACTCACGCGCCCGAGGGAGGAGGAAGTAGACGCGCCCCGCGAGCCGGTCCTGAGCGAACCCTCTGCGCACGGAGGAGGGAGCAAAGAGAATAACAGGAAATGACGCAAGCGCACGTGCTTCCGAGAGGGCCGGTGCGAGGC